CGTTACGTATATTCATTTCGATACGACAAATTGGCAAAAGCTTTTCAATGAAAGTTGAACTTTTTAACATTTTTAATCGATAGCAAAAAAATTAATAATAAAAATTAGCATGATGAGATTTTGCTCCGGATTAAGTACAAGATACATGTTTGCAAGCGAGAAAGAGAGATTTACATAAACTCGAAATCAAATGCAGCCAGGATTGATATAATTGTAATGACGCGGGATCATACCCAGAAGGAATCACAGGAATTAGAAACATAGAATTGTATGAATTTGCATTACCGAATTGAATTCCTTTGGTGGAATCGAGTAACAGTCAAATCATGGATTCACTATGACTATATCCAGACACCATCTATGATAATTATGAGACTAATACTTAGATCCAGGCATCTGGTTAACAACCCTGAATGCAACATCATAGAGCTAGAGATTATCAATTTTGAAATCTATTTATCGCACATTGCAATCATAATTTGCATAAATTATCTTCAACTGTAACTCAAAATGACGTTTTATGAAAATAAATAAGTAGTGTATTGCGGAGAAGCTTGCAAGCGAAGCACAAGCATGGAAGAAGGGGAAAAAGAATATTGTGTAAAGTCGTTCGTGTGTGCAGTGATTATCGTTGATATGAAGGCGCGCGAAATATTTCACGATCATGCCAGAAGCAACATTCATTAAAACTGTACCACATCGAATTCGCTGATGCCTTCAATGAAAATTTTTTATGCATTATTGCACATTTGGGAGGAATAATGAAACTTGTTTCAATTTATGTAAATGAAAGAGAATTTTTTTCTCTGTCTCTGTCTCTCTCTTTTTTCCTCGCACTTAATTCAGCACTCAATATACAAGCCTCTATATGTACATATACACGGTGCGTATCCAAGGATCTGTTTATGCAAATTTTATATTTTGGCATTGATAAATGATGGCAGATTATTGAAATATATTTACGCAAATGGCCTTAATTTACGATCATATAAAGCTCTAGTTTTTCGATACAAAAACTCATAAGCTATACGTATGCATATTCATATAAATTGACTTCATTGCTGTTCATTACTCGCTTTATCCGGAAAGCGAAAAAAAAAATATTCATTAACTTTATTTTTCAGTTTAATGAATCCTTGTGATGGCAAAATCTGAAATTTATTCATCGACATGAAAAATTGATAATAATTCTCAATTAAAATGAGACTGCGCGGATAGCTTTTGATGCTTGAGCTTTATTGCAATATGCTCTTGTTTTTATTCATATAAATTTATTTTCATTTCATTTTTTCTTTTTAAATTTCTCAAACGTTGTCCAAACATACTTCCTGGATAATGCATTTAGAAAGACAGAAATTTTTTATAGATTACATTCGAAGTATTTTTTTATATAACATTTTCTTGAGTTCAGCCCCAATGTAAACTGAGAAAAACCAAGCAAAAAATGGTATTAATATGTTTAAATGAGATATATACATAGAAGAAAAAAAAATAGCAATGCACTTCTTAGAGGTAGAAAACGGACAAAAAGTGAAAATAAACTAAAGGCGACTGCGAAGAGTGAGAGAAGGAAAAAAAGAGAGCATGTAGGTGGACATTTTTATTTACAAATATTTAATGTTGAATAAATGAGTAAAGTAGAGTACATATCGTCGAATTTATAAATGTATACATGCAAAAAAAAATCCATGGGCGTACATGACGATTCCTAATCGCGATCTAACAAATTTAGAGCATGCTTCGCTACGCCTGTGATTACAAAAAGTAATGTTTTTATAAATATTGTATTTTTCTCTCTTTTTCCTGCAAGTTATTTATGAAAGAAAAATTGCAAATTTGTGTCCGTGGACTGGATGACTTTGGCGCATTTACATCTTCAATTGGAATGTTTGATAAAATTATCAGTAGCTGCAATATTAGAGGGTCGTTAAAAAATTCGACACTCATTGCTAGGGATTAAACGACCATACTTAGCATACCAGCTATTCCGACTGGCTATTAAAGTTCCAAAATCAAGCTACATACAATTAAAAAAAGAATGCAATTCACTCAATAAATATTGAATGTCAATTCTATTGCAAATAAGTGGGCATACAAGTTAGATAGACTGAAAAAGTATGAGCAGCAACACATTTTTTTTGAGGAAATGGCGCTAAAAGTATATATTATAGAGCAAAAAATATTATCAAGTACCGAGGAAAAATATTCATGGCAGCCATGATGTAAGTAACTGTGAGCATAAGGAAACAATGGATTTCACCGTAAAAATATTATTTCATAGATTCATAGCTTGTACTTTTTACATAGTGGAGAGAAAAAAAAATAGATAACTAAAGTCCGTAGGATTACAATTGAAAGCCACTCGGCTGCAATTTATTTGTACAAATTCATCGTCAATTAAAAATTGCAAAGATAACTCTTTCCTGCTTCTTTGCACATTCGAGTGTGCCGTAGCTGACCATTACAATTTCTCAAAGTATATATGAAGAGAATCAAAATAAAATAAAAGAAAAGAAATTTTGCTCGATATTTTAGCGAATTTGTTCTACACAATCTATATTCGTTAACCTTAATTCCAGTTAATTTTTTGAATATTGAAAGTATCTGTTTCCATTCTATTAACCTGCATCAATTCAAGTGGCTTACTTTTTTTTGACAAAATTGACCATAAGAAATCTTAATTATATTGTTTTGAATTTCCTCTGAATGGACTATAAAATGTGAAGTATATTACAGAGTAAAATAGGTTTGACTATATTAATACATTTAATTCATGATAACTCAATCTGTTAAAACTATTGATGGTGGATAATTTAGTTCAAAATTAACTTCACCTCCATAATGAACACATTCGATTGATTAAAAAATGCGCAAAGCTATATGCAAACCAACCGAGGAAGTAAAATGAAAAAATTAAAATATGTAAAACTAGATCATGCATTCAAAAAGTCTCTCGTTTACGACGTATACGTAAATTAAAAAAAATGTATTTAACAATCAAGGCTATAAAGTTCGATAATAAATGAATTTCATTCGATATCTTCCTTGATTGTAGTTTTTTTTTTGTGTATTTGGAATATATTGAAGCATGAAATGACAGTGTAAACTACTTGCAGTAATTGGAAATTAATTGACAAGTCATGCGTGAATATAAGAATATGGTTTAGTAGACTCATTGAATATTTCATGAAATACATGTACTTATGTACATATATGAGTGAGTAAGAATTATCACATGCGGTGATGATGAATAGTATTGAGTAATACTGATAACGTGTAATTTCAACTTCTTGCATGTGAAAAAAGGAAAATACTTTCGATTCAACAGTAATAAATTTTCATCTCTTCTACGTCGTCCAGGAGACGATGACTGAAAATTGAAAAATAAAGTTATAATAATATGTGCTGCTGCTGCGCGTACAGGAGAGAATTTATATGAGAGAGAGAAAGAGAATCAATGATCAATGACTACACTGATATAAAACTATATATAAATTTGTATTACAGATTCCATACGTTGATGATCGAGCGACGAAGACTACGACAGCAACAGTGACGAAGAGAGATGCAAAAAGGCGAGAGGAAAAAATGTTCGGACAAAATCTTTAAAGAAGAAGAAGAAAGAAAAAAAAATTGAATAAGTAAAGACAACAAAGAAGAATTACACTGCTATAAAAAAATATAATACGTATAGTCACTTCATACAACACAAACAAAAGACTCGCGGCTCACTCAAATGTATAAGTGCTACACTTATTTGCTCTTTTTCTTAAGCTTTAATCTCAATGCTTTATTTTCTTTTATTACAACAATTTTTTTTTCTTCTTTCAGTACTCATACACTTACTCACTCCTGCAGTGGGCTCGCGCAGTTGTTATTTCATATTGTTGTTAACAAACTATCCAACCTAAAGTATGCTGGAAATTAAATCACATTTCAGTGGGTTTCTGTACTTGGTACTCGATGTTACACATTTGGATTGCGGAGAATTTTTTTTTCGTTTCGTTTAATTTTTTATAATATTTTTAAAAAATTTTGAGCGCGAATATTTTTGTGAATTCTTATTTTTTATCAAATTGACACAGTTTATAGATTCTAGAGTGCTAAATATTATAAAAGATCCTTAAGAACAATAAAAGTGATAAGCTGATAAAAAAATATTATCAAAAGTGGAAAGACAAAAATAAAAGGAAATAAATTCAAAAGATTTAAACGAGTGAGCAGAACAGAAGTTGTAAAAGCATTATTGTTACCATAAATATATTTAAAATATACATAAAGTACCACATGATATATAAAGTGCGATAAAGAAATTTAATTAAATTGACAAATAAAGAAAGTTTTATATATGCTTTTTAAAAAAGGAATTTTTTATTGAAATTTAAATAAGTGCAGTTTTTTTTTTGTATAATAAAGAGAGAGAGAGAGAGAGAAAGAAATAAAAAAGAAAAGAAAAATTAAATCGTTTACATTTTTTCGAGTCCAATATCATCATTCAGATCAATTTCTGATTTTTTGCTTTATTTAATTGAAGCAAGGCAAAAATAAAAATATATATATATATGAATGTGTATATGGGAAGGAATAAGTATTTTACAAACGAAGTAAGAGATGCCTTTTGTATGTTAACTTAAACAAAATACAAGCAGTTAAAGAAAAATAAATTTAATACATCAAGAATATAAATTTCATTTCATTTAATGCAAACGAAGTGAAACTATAACTTTGCATATCTGACCATATATGTAGAAAATAAATGAAGAAATGAACAGCATCATATAACCAGCGCAAAAAATATATATAAGAGAAATATAAAAATAACAGCCCGGATGAATTTAACTTTTCTTCAAGACACAACAAAAAAGCCGAAATTCTTATCCGCACGAAAGTAAAAATCACTTCATATATTAAAAAAAAAATATATTTATATATATAAGCAGAGAAAGAAGAAAATATATATTATTGTGAAGTGAATAATGAAAAAGTGTACCATTATAATTCATTATTCGTACCTCGGAATATGGTGCTGAAGGATTGAAAATTAAAGAGCTTACATACTAGGACATTATCTTCATACATGTACAATCAATTAGCAAACTTACATAATTAATGAGTGCTTAAAACATAGTAATTATACATTAAAAGGATTATCGCATGCTTCTCGATTCAAACTAGTATAAAGTATTGGATGATGACACGATAAGGTAAGTTTTCTGTCTTTTTATTCCCTTATATCGAATTACATATAGGTACAAATAATATTGAGTAACTCAAATGACTTTAAAAAAAATTAAAAACGACAGATAAAAGTGACCTTCTCTAATTCTTGGAACGAAATATATCTTTTTTTTCTATCCACATTATTAGTTTAAAAAAAAATACCGCAATAAAGCAAAAAGGAGGGAAAGAAACAAATAATAATATATAAAGTATTTGAAAATATTGGCTCGCTGAACTACGCCGTGTTGTTTCTTAAATGCATATTTCGCTTGAATGAGTCATAGAGAAGTGATGCTCGATAAATATATTACGAAAATGAAAATAGATATTTTGTGTGCTTGCACCTTAATGGAATTCAATAAAATTTGAATACATTTATTAACCTCTTTCATGAGTAAATTATGCAAATACAATAATGGTACACATATGTATGTGGTGATCCATGCAAAATGACATGATTCATTGATTACTATTATGGACATAAATATTTAGAAAATTTTTATTGCATAAATTCAATTAAAACATTTTTCATTCACGAGAGATGAATCATCATGAGCTGCAGCATAATATTAGATTTATTCATGATCGTATGAAGTACTTGACGAGAGAAAAACAAGAATGTAAGACATTATTCCTGATATATATGCATGTACATATGCAAGCACACTGGTAGCGCGTGAAATCAAAGAAAAATGCAACATTCTTTACACAAATAAAAGAAACAAATGAACCTAATTGTCTGAATAAATGCTATTATGTCATTAGACTTTTCAGTGCTAGGTGTGAAAATAATAACGATTAAAATGAAGAAGTAAAACAAACAGCACTTTTTTTATTATTATTATTTGAAAAATAACATCATTACCACCTTAATCTGTCTGAGAAAAACAAATTCCATTCCGAAAAAATAATATTTAAAGAATCAAAGAGCGAATAAACGTATAAAAAAGAGATGAAAAAAAGTGAATCTTGTTTTAGATTTTAAGCGTGGGATCTTTCATTCATTCAATGAAACTATTTAGCAAAAAAAAACAGCACTTTTTGTCTTATGCTAAAATAAACATAAAGCAAGGAAAAACATGTTTCAATTGGTATCGATTGTTTCATTCATGCCATTGTTGTTTCCGATGGGATATTAAAATTAACAAATCGTACGGAATATTGAAATCATCACTGTAGTGTCTTCAAATCAATTCTCAAGCAATTTTCTCTGTTGCAGTTCTCGTCACTTACTGTTTCATTTGAAAAGCGGTGACAATTAAAAAATTCCCACATTTAGCGGTCGATATCTTTTTTTCAGTGCAAAGTCAGTATACATTTACGACCTATATTCTTTAATGATGAGAAGGCCAAGAGCGCAATTGTTCCGTTGCGCATCTTAAATTACATCACAATACAGTTCACCTTTTGAGCATCACAATGCGAAATAACACTCAAGATGCGAATTTCCATGAAATTTTGCCCTTGAGACATACCGCATCTTGATATAGGATTTAAATTGTAATTTACATTTGTGATTCTTTTTTAAACACGGCAAGGATGAGTGGTAGTATCTTTTGTTAACTTTTGAGAGCTAGTTAAGTAAACTATATCTCCGATCTCATTTAAATAATAATAATAATAATTGTTCCGATAATTGACTCTTGTAAAATGTACTTCGTGCTATTTTAGGCAATCGAATCAAAAAATTTTAAGCAATTTTCTTAAACAAGAATAATTTTTTATCATCAGAAAAACGAAAGTTTCATGAACGAATAATGTATAAATTATTTTATTTACAATAAATTTTATAGGTAATATTGCCATGCACAAGATGAAAAAAAAGAGTAAAATAAAATAATAATAATATTATTCAAGAAAAAAATACAATTGATTTTTTTGATGGCTCGGCGTGCGCGAACGGTTTTAAAGGAAAACAATAACTTTCCAGTAATGCCGATGTTTTATTTCATCTTTAAAGAAAAGCATTTAAAATCAATTTTCATTTGATTCACGAAATCTTGTCGATTTCGGCGAAAGTCAATCGAAACATCACTTAAATTTTTGTGAGCGATTGATACAATGCAACATTTCATCAAATACAATAACATCTCCTTTAATTCATGCATCCAATCGTGATTTTTTCATTAAAGTATTGCTTACAAAATGAAAAGAATTCACTAAAAGATGTCAATTTATGTTTCGATTTTTTTTTATGCCTGATTCAAGTCAAACAATACACGTTGCTTTTTTTCTTGTGGCACACTATAAAAAGTACATTTTTCCTTCCTTTAAGCTGTATTGTTGCTCGTACAGAAATTGCTTTGCAAACTTTGCACTTGTTGATTAAAATTTCTCTGCGGCAAGAAATGCGACATTGCTATGCATGATATTTTCTTATGTGCACGAACAAACCGCCGGTTCGCAAACGCATTACGGTTTGAAAAAATATACCATTAGATGATCTCGTTTTTCTTTTTTTTTTCAAAGCAGATGATGTCGCTTACAGTATTAATTTTTTATAACAGTATTTAAAAGTGAAGCGCAAAAAATGGAAAGTTGTTACAAAATTGGAAAATGATTTCAATTATTGTGGAAGAAGATGAAAATTAAAGGAAATAGTATATTTTTGCATCCCGTGATATCGCTTTCTATTAAAGCAATTCATGACAGTAAGCAGTTAAAACATATAAACGAGATGATGCTTTATATGTCTAATATTAAATAATTTTTTCCTATCAATATCATGTTTAGATGAAAAGATAAATTCAGATTGAAATCGAGATTATTGATGAGATATATAATTTCAATGAAGTTTCCGTCAATTGTTGCTTAAAGATTCCTAAAAAATGTTTTGTGTGGTTCTTCATATTTTTTCATATAATTTAATAAAAATAACAATAAATTCCCAAAAATGTTGAAATTAAAAGCTGATTCTCATTTTTAAAAATGTCAAAAAGCTGCAAAAAGTCCAAAAATAGCTTTGCTAGACAAGCCTATTCCACTAATTTGTCCTACAAAATCTCATCCAAATCCACAATATAATTACATTTAGTGTGTCAAATCAAACGAGACAGTAAAACAGACTTCCAAAATTAATCACATTTTAGGAAGTAAAATGTAGGAAAAGCAAGCGAAACTTATGAAATTAATGCACGGATAGACCGTAATGTCATTCCGAAAGATTTATTCATTAGCATGCAATGAAAAGTGATCTAATTTCTCACATTTTTGTCGCGCTCTATCCAATTGAAAACTTTCTAAATATTGAAATAATTTGTATTTGACTGGTACATTGATGCATGTAGGAATTAGAAACAGTTTACTCCCCATTTGTTGTTTAGCAAGTTTTTTTTGTGTCTACACTCATTATTGTTCCGGGTTTCTGGTACAATAAATCAGTATTTGAAAATTATCTTGCCCATAACATAAAAGTTTTGATATAAATTGACTGCCGACTAAGAATGGTTAAAAAAATAATACTGTCAATAGTGATGAGTGTAAAGATTCTCAATTGCATTGGAGCATTCTATTTTATAGAAAATTTTATCTCGTATTACAATTTACATGCCTTAGATGCATTCATATTGATTTATTTAAATTATTGAACCATACGACTGTGAATAATTCAGGAGAGCAGAAAAAGGCGGCCAGAACGTCAAGGCATTAAAATGTATTAAAACAGTAACAAGCCACCATCGGGATCACATTCAAGTGTTGGAAGTAAAAGAAAGAAGAAAGAAAAAAATTATACCTTTAAAGCATCGTTGGAATGAAGATAAAGAAAAGAGAGAGAACTGGATCAAGAAACGAAAAAAAAAACCTGAATAAATTAGCTGTATTTCAAGTGTTACATCCGCACATATTGTACGTGAATAAGCAAAGCAAGTATGGAAAAAAGGAGTTTAAATGCTGATCATTTGCAAATTTGGTCAACAATAAAATTGTCACCTTGTAAATTTCATGAAAAACAGAAAATTAACTTCACGAATTTGAATACGTAATAAGGCTGTGGAGATGAGGCTGTATGAAGTCATATCGTTTCTTTCCAAAAATTATTTTGTTACCGTTTTCTTTCTTTGAGTATTAACGCCTGAAGGCAAAAGCTTGATTACATTTCATTTAAGTATGAAAAATAAAAATTTTAGGCAACAACTAAATCACCATTTTTTATCACTTTCCATGTCTATGAAAAAGACATCTACATGTAATTGCAAGCACATAATAAATAGGTATCGTTTCTGACATGATCCATGATCGTCAGCCAAATATCTCTGTCAAACCAGGTCATGTCATGAGGTGTAGTAACGCATTTGCCTGCTTTCTTACAGTCGTCTAATTTTTCAATTATATATTATGTTGGATATATTCATATAAAAATAAGCAACTCGTGCGGCTTAAATTGGTTCACGTTTCAATAAAAAAAGCTCCTTTTTGCCACAATGATTTGTCTGTAAATTTGTTTCTAATAGTATAATTAGCTGGCGTTTTCGAGATGACATGACTGGAGGAAAAAATCAAATTGATTTTGAAATTAATTAAATTGGGTACTATTCATTTTGTATTGGGTATTTTGACATTGTTGAAATAAGCACGGTTATTAACTTTTGATGTTGTCCGATTTTTTCAACAATTTTTTTTAATTCTATTCAAAAGATTTTACCTAATATTTTATGTATCCTAAATTATTTTACAATATTTTTGTAATGTATAGTGGAAAAAGTACAGATATAATTCCTGATAGTTTAATGTTTAGACTTTTCATAATTCTGGATCATTTAGAATATCTTGTCATAACATAATTGACTGCAGTTATTGGAATTCATCCTTAGAGCCTATTTAAAAACTTCTGAATATATTTAAATTTAAACATACAATTTTAAAGCAATCAAAATAATTTTTGGGCATAAAAAGTGTGAAAAATCCTCATAATAGGCTATTAAAGTATATTAAAGCTATAATCATCTTTATTCATAACAATTAAAAAGAAATCAAATTTATTCCA